CATTCCTGCAGTGCTCTGGTGTGTTACTCCACAAGGTGGGTGGGAAATGTTAAAGATAATGGGTCCCTTTCCCCCCCAGCCACATCAGGAGAGCTACATCAATTTTGACTATGAATCCAGCCTGTACTGATAGTTGATTATTCTCTTCCTATGAAACTGCTCAAATAACAGGGATGTCTCATAGCATGGGATGAATGCAGGGAGGCAGTGAGACCCAACAGACAGAGTCTGAGACAGCCAAAGTCATCAGATGTCGGCTGAGCCACTGTCATCATCTGCTTATGCTCTTCATCCACAGCAAAAGCAGATGATGCAGTTGAGCCTAACTTAACTAAGACAGCTTTTTATAGCCTAGGATAGCTAAGGAAGGAGACATAATTCTTCCTGTCATTAAAGTCTTACTTCTTCATTTAACCAAGGAGATTTCATAGTGCTGAAAGAAACGATATAATCCATCTCCAACTACCATGGAGACATAAATTGTATCCAGGCATGTTTTTAATATTGCCAAACTTTGTGTTTTCTGCTAATTTCATAATCTTATTCTCTATTAGTGTGGTGGTTGACCCTGGTCAGCACCTAAGCACCTCACAGCCACTTGCTCACTCCCCACCTCAGAGGGACAGGGAAGAGAATAGAAACAGCAAAGGCAAGAAAACCCGTGAGTCAAGACAAAGACAGTTTAATAACTGAAGGAAAAAGGAAAAAGAAACCCAACCAACAAGTGATGCAAAGGCAATCACTCACCACCTCCTGCAAGTAGACCAATGCCCAGACAGTCTCTAAGCAATGCCCACCTCTCCCCAAAAAACCCTCCCTTCAGTTTTTATTGCTGAGTATGATGTCGTAAGGGCAGAGAATACCCCCTTGGTTAGTCTGGGTCAGCTGTCCCTGTTGTGTCCCCTCCCAACCTCTTGCCTACCCTAGGCCTAGCTGCTGAGGGGACAGAGTGGGAAAAAGAGAAAGCCTTGACACTGTGCAAGTCCAGCTCATCAACAGCCAAAACATTGGTGTGTCATTAACACTGTTTTAGCCACAAATCCGAAACACAGCAGGGTATGGGTGGCTACGAAGAAAGTTAACTCCATCCTAGCCAGACCCAGTACAATTATGCCATTTGGATCACTAATAAAATAGTGCCAAAGACCAGGCACACCTTGATTCCTTTCCATACAACCTTTGACAAGAATTATTCTCTGGGTGCAGTCTGCAAATGGCCCTTGTAAAATACTTACAGCAAACCCATATACTCTACACATCTCTATTTTGCCTACAGGAAATAAGTAGAAACAGAGTTAAAGACCTTACCACAGTCTGGATATTTGGCATTGATTGCTTCTGCTCTAGCCACATGGCCTTGCGACCTTGTCAGAGAAGATTAGGCTGGTTGCAATGTAATTTTGTTCCTTACAAATCCACCCAGACTGACAGATAAAGAAAGGCTACATAAAAGTAATTCAATCATTAAGAACTCAAGACTAAAAGGCATCTCAACTGCCATTACAGTGAATTTTTGAAAATGTGTACGTTATGGTAGGGATATGACAAGCTGGGAGAGCTGTTGAGGTACAGGACTTCATCTCTGGGTCTGGGTATTGGAAGTGAATGCTCTTGTCCTGAGACAGAAGTGTTTCCAATGTAAGAGTTCCCAGATGTTTGCTTGATCTCACTTTGCTGCATCTTGCAGAGTAGAGACCAAAAGCTCTTTTGGCCAGGGCTTACTTTTTTTTTTATTTTATTTTCTGTGGTCCTGCTGGAAAATACAGGTGGGGATCTACATTAGTTCCTTGACAACTGCAAGCATAAACCTGTTTGCTCTTGGGCCTCCACTGCTCACAGTATCATCAACTCTTCAGTGTGCATGGGTTCCAAAACTGGCTAAAAGCACAGAAAATCACAAAGCGCTCCTCAATACAAGAAAACACCTCTGTATCAGGAAGGCCCTGAGCTGCAAATTGCTGGAGGACAGGAGAATGGGGAGGTGTCATATATGCTTGCACCTTTCTTATAGTCTTCTGTAGGTGTGTGTTGTTAGGCTCTAGGAAGACAGATACTCTCATGTTACGGACTAATTTGTCTTGGCTAGTGAAACGGCCTGAACCAACCAACCAAAAATTACTGTCATCATTGATCTACCAAGTCAAGATATCCTTAATGCCTTTTCCTTGTCACAATGCAGCATTTGGAGTGCTGTTACCCCTGTTCTACAGACTAGGATCAGAAACATAAAAAATAAATTGACTTGGAGATGCATCTCCTGAGGTCCTGCTCCCCCAGCTGCATCACTGCACAAAGGACCTGGTTGGAGCTCTTGTGTTTCCTATCTGATCCCACATCGGAGTTTCATTTCCAAGAAAACCAGAATGTGGCAGAAAAAACTAGTAAAACCCACCCTACTGGGGGTTCTGGGGTAAACTCCCAACTAAGAGTTTGAAAAAGTGCTGAATAGTTTAGATGTCCCAGTTTAAAAGTAGCCAAAGAGATAAAGTGACCTGGCAGAGATTAAACAGACATCCTAGTGGGAGCCGAGTGTCCCAGG